GTGAAGGTCACTACTGTTGCGGAGCACGACCTCTACCACGTTCATTGTTTCGCCCTCGGCTTCGTCCATCTTGTCCTCTGCTATTGCTTCGGCCACCACGATTGTGTCGCCGTTGTTGTTGCGGTTATAATGGGATGTCGATGAATCAATTGGTGCGTCATTGTGAGACGCCATGAAAGATGAATTTTCAACTGAGTTTGACACCTTTTTCAGCAGTGTTGTTTCTTCCAAAATGATCATGGAACGAGCTTTATAGAACTGGGGAAGTGAATCAACATGACGAATTTGGGATCCCACAGTAGCATATGCATCAATTAGTCCTGAAATGAGTTGAAGAACTAAACCTTCATTTGATACAAGGGCACCAATATTAGCTAGTTGATCAGAGAGAGACTTGAGATGCTGACAGTAGGAGGAAGCATAAGAGAATTGCTCCATATGAGTTCGCGGAAACTCTTGCTCTAGGTAGAGAGCCCTAGAATTCTTGTTATCATAAAAGATGTCGAATAAGCAATTCCACGTGATTTCAGCGGTGGAATTATGTTCGATGATAGTGTTGAGAAGGTCCTCGGAGATTGTTCCGTATATCCACTGTAAAACGACAGCGTTGAGAGGAAGCCATAAATGTGGATCAGAAGTTTTGAGAGAGGGATTTACAGGTGGTTTAGAGGGAATGATATGGTCAATCACTTGAAAAACTCGAGCCTGAATTTTGAAAAGTTCTGACCACGTGTTATACGTGCCCTTTTCAATGTTCAGAGTAATCTTAATAAAATTAGTAATATTTGGGGCAGTAAGAGCAGGGTGAGTCGTCGTAGAAGTGAGAGGTGGAGGAGGAGTGTCGGTATGACTGGTGGAGTGTGAGGAAGAGTTGTTGTTGGAGGAATTAGTAGTGGTAGTCATGGTTGTTTTGAGGTGGTTAAAGAGAAAAAAAATGAAAGATAGGAAGAAAGAAGGTTGACGGCTGGTTTTAGGGTTTGGGAACAAATCAAGCGTGATACCATGTAAGAGAATTTAGGTCATGCCTTTTCATTGATCTAAAAGAATCTCACATAATTCCTTATCATAACTTTATCAATCAACACCATATATGATTGACTTGAGAGAAAAGGTGTTTGTGAAAGAAATATAATACACATGTTTTTTTTTGTTGAAAATATGGATTTATTGATCCTAATTTAATCATCATCACCTTTCAATGAATGATTCTCGTTTTTTAAGAATGACAAAAATTGTTTATATAGTTGATTGATGTAAGTAAAAAAAGTTGAAAATTAAGTAGTTGATTCGAGTCAAATCCTACTGTTATAATTTGAATAAGATGAAAGAATGACGCTAATCAAGATGATAAATTCTAAAAATAACTTGTTTGATTTGGATCATGATTTAAATCATATGATTCAAATCAATCAATTATTCGAATCACATAACTAGAGGTGATTTTTAAAATAATTTATTTGATCAATGATTCAAATCATCTATGGTTAAGATTCACATCAAGGTGCCTTTGATTCGAATCAGATATATCATTTATATGAATCACATTCACAATGCAAAAATCTAAAATTTCCTTTTATTCTTGTTTCGAATTAGCCAGAGTTGTACTTCGGATCAAGCTTTAAAATATCTTGTTTTAAGACTTGTAAGTTTTGATTCAAGGCTCATATAGTTGACTTATGACCACTTTTCTTAAAATAAAAAAAAATTGAATTGGATTCAACCTAAGTGAGTGTAAGAGATAGCTCAATGTATAATATTATAATGAATGATAGAATCAAATTATGAATAAATAATTCAAAAATATTGAAAATGTTATAAATTATCAAAATACACTTATGACATTCATTGTTACCGATTTTTTATGTTTAGAAAATTTGAAAAATTATTTGAATAAATTGTTTCCAGTTATTGAGCAGCACACAAATGATACTTAAGCTCTTAAACTCTCTCAAGCTACCCTTGCATTCAACACTTAACATGCATAAAAATTCTATAGATATGTCATAAAAATTCGATAGAGTGCTTTCATGGTTATACAATCTGAAAGTTGCAGGTTGTTGAAGGTTGTATGAAATTACTATCTGAAAGTTGCAGATCGTATGAGATTACTCAAACTTTTGAGAGGCTCTGTCTAAGAAGTTCTAAGAAGTTTGAGTAAGTTTGTGAAATTTTTTTAATAGATTCTTTTAATCGTAAATTAACCATAAAAAAAAAAAAAAAAATATATATATATATATATATATATATATATATATATATATATATATATATATATATATATATATATATATATATATATATATATATATATATATATATATATATATATATATATATATATATATATATATATATATATATATATATATATATATATATATATATATATATATATATATATATATATATATATATATATATATATATATATATATATATATATATATATATATGGAGACTTTTTTCTACGTAACATAATTTTGAAAAATTATGAGACTATATATTGTAGGTCGCTTTGCATTTTCTTAAAGAAGGCCCGAGCCTATTACTATTCAAAAGTATATAGATGTTAATGAATTCTTAATTAAAAAGTATATAGATGTTAATGAATTCTTAATTGGAATTGATTTTAAGTAACTTATTAATTAAAAATACACATACTAAAAATTTCATTCAATCACGTGACACTTTTTCAAACTCTTCAAAAATTTCTTCTATCATCGTGTTTCATATTATATTTTTTCCTTTTTTATTTACTTTTTTTTCTATCATCATACCTCATGCTATAGTTTTTTTTTTCTTTTTATCATCATGCTTCATGCTATATTATTATTTTTTATTTCTATTTATTTTGTTATTTCAATAGTCGTATTTTTTCCACCATTCAATTATTATTATTTTTCCCAACACTTTCGATTTTAGCTAACATTTTAACATAACAGTTTTTTTTTTTAAAGATTTTCAACGTATGTCCAAGTTGTTACTTATATATTTTGAATATTTTTAAATTTTATATTATGCTATTTTTAAAAAATTTATAAGTAAATACTATTTTTTTTATCAACTGTTTTCTTATTAATTTTTAATTAAATTATTAATCAATACATTTTTATTAACACTTTTGATAATTAAAAAATAATAATTTGAGGCTTGCTAATGGTGGCGGTTAAACTCGCGCCTTTTTTTCATACTTGGCATGGCGTTTTGGATATTGAGTATTTCTTTCAATTTCATGTTTATTCAATCCTCCTAAATTCAGACTCATGTCTTTCTTAAGTTTACTTCAGTCCATCGACCTTAAGTACTGGGTCTGATATGCCTGAAGTATTTGAAGATATTACTCTGGTTCTTAATATTTTTAGTATGGGTCCATGATCCCATTAGATTTACTACGTGGTTCTATGTATTGTGTCGGTAATATTGTCAAATAGTTTTGATGATGACAACTCTTCAAATAATTTTTAATGATGACATTCGATCACGAAAGAGATATTACAAGTTTCTTCAGGAAAAATATATCAAGTTTCAGTTGTAGGTGCTAGACTAAGCTTTAATAAAACAAAGAAATGGAAAGATATGAAGTTGTATTCTTGAAGTTATGAACTTTGAAGATGTGAAAGTATGGAAGCTCGCCTAATATAGCATTTAACATTTTATCGATTATTTGATTAATTTATTGTAAATGAAAGAAAAGTAGATCTTGAGATACTATGACAATACATATAAATATAAGGGGGGAAATGAGTATTTCAAACTTCTCATTTTTTGATAAAAATTCTTAAAACCAATTCGGACAAATGCTTAAATGATCAACAAGCTAGTTTGATCAATTGCATCTATTGATTAACACAATTAAGTGATGTCGAAATTCAAAATTTACTTTTTTGGTTAAATTTATCAATTAACACATGTATTTAATCAATTAAAATATCAAAAAAGCATGTGCCATGTTCTCTTTTTTAGCTAAATTTTTCCTATATAAAAGAGGTTTCTGCTCATTTTAAAACACATCGATTTTCAAAATAAAAACTCTCTCTTACATTTTTACTTCTCATTCTTTCATAAATTTCTCTTTTATTAAAGTTGTCGTAGTGTCAAAAGAGTGAAAAGTTTCATTTGAGTGATGTGTTGAGTTGTAATTGTTTATTCAAGAGTATAGTTCTCTTGTGATCTTTTGTAATATCTAAAGGTTACAAGTTAAACCTGTAAAAAAGTTTGGTTTAAGGTTATTGAGTTGGGTTTGTGAAAAAGCTCTAATTGTTTGTTGAAGTTTATTAAGTTGAGTCTATACAAAAGCTCTAAGTTTTTTGTGAAAGATTTTTGGAATGATCTTCTGCAAGGCTCTATTTATTTTGTAAGGTTGTTTGGGTTGATCATGTGCAAAAGCTCAAATTATTTTATAAGGTTCTTTGGGATTATGTTGTGTAAAAGCTCAAATTTGTTTTAGTGAAAATCTAAAAGAAAATTCTTAAAGACAAAAGTAAGTCAAATGATTTTAGGTCTAAACTAAAATAAATTTTGGTGTGATCTTTCGTTTCCCTTTTTGTTTTATTTTTATTATTTATTTATATTTTGCTACTTATTTATCTATCTCTTGTCTTTTTTATATTAAGTTGCTTCGTCTCTATTTCTTCTCTTTGTAAAACAAAGATCTATCCTTTAACGAAGAATGATGTGCTTTATGAAATGAGAAGGTGAGAATTTTTGTAGAGGGAATGAATTACAAAATCTACACTTCTATTAAAAATGGACATTTTACAGTGCAGTGTTGATGGTGTTGTGAAAAACAAAAATAGAAAAATTTAGGCAAAAAAATACAAAGAAAATGTGCAGTGTTATTTAAAAGTAAAAACTATTATTACTACCGCTTTAAGTATTGATAAAGTATTTTGTGTTTCTCACTATAAAATTGTAAAGAAAATGTGATTTTCAACAGACATTACTTTCAGGCAATACTTTCTCATCCAACTCAATTAAACTTGAATGATTTTCAACAGACATCATAACTTACTAGGAATAACATCTTTAGAAAGCACTCCACTCTTTCCAACATGAATAGGGCTATTGAAAATATCCTTTCTTTCAGCAATAAACTTAGCAAACTGAGAACCCTTCTCTTCTTTGCTTTTATTGTCTAATCGAGACTGCGGTTGATCAGGTGCGGGATTGAGCTTGGGAGAAGATGGCCGCGTCAACGCCCAAATTGATGAAATGTACTCGTTCGGTTCATCTAGAATCCGCAAAAGTGATGAATCAAGCATGTCTGCAGTGGGAGAGGAGAGTCATAGCATAACATGTCAATCTACCATGTGGAGACCGGTAAACAAAAAGAAAAAATTATTTTTTGAAATTACACCTTTTGCAAACTTGAAGATGGGTGCCAAAGCTGCAGATGGAATGCTAAAATTAAGATGAGGTATTATCGATCCACCGCCGTGCCTTGCGTTGCTGTATCAAAAGCATTCTATGTAAATACGAGTCAATGATAAAGAATTACATCAACAAAAAAAAGGGTTAGTGGCATTACCTTGTAACCAGGCCAATCATGTGACCGTCTGAATTGATAACAGCACCGCCACTAGCACCAGGATGAATAGCAGCTGTTGTTTCAAGCATTACTGGGAAATGGCCACGGGTATGCATGTGCTCGGGTTGAACGGAATGATAAGATTGAGGAGTCTTTGCTTCAACCACTTTTGCTACAACACCCGAGCTAACAGATGGGAAGAATCCTAATGAAAATAGATGGAATACAATAGCATATATATTAACAAATGGCATAGCCACAAAAGTCAAGAGTAACATGGAATATATCGTTTTGAACGAAGATCACTGGCATTCATGACAGGGAATCGAACCAAGAAAAAAAGGAATTAATTAGGTTGGCAAGGACTTACCACACTTCGGGCCAAATAATCCATGGCCAATAACATACGTCTTTGATCCTGTGGATGGCCTGGAAAAGTTTGTTACAATAGGCAAAAGATTAGCCGGAACTGATTCAAGCTGCAGTAAGGCAACATCCCACGGTCCCTTACAAACATATATTACTTTAGCATCACACCAAACCCAAGGCTTGATATGATCAAGGCGTACACGTATATTTCTATGGTTGTCATAAGTTGGGTTCGATTTATATCTCCTCTGCTCATCAGCAGCAAAAGGATAAAGATTTGTCATCTTCGAAGGTAATGTTTGATTAACTTGCATGCTTTCAACGTTATTGCCAAGAGAAGTAGTTCCCTCCAAGATGGAAGAAAAAAATTTCAGGTTGGTTCCATATTCTCTGCTGCTTACATGAGTTTTCCCAAATCTCCAAGGCTCTAACAGATGGGCATTTGTAAGTACGAGACCTTGACTGTTTAACAAAACGCCAGATGCCCATACTCCATCACCAATAGTAACGAGACATACAGAGGCCATTGCTTTCTCGATTGGTAATGGTGAGGAGCTACCAAAATTTAAATGCTCGTGTTTATTACTAGAGGGTACACGAGTTTCTGATTTCTCGTAGTCAATAAAAGTAATCTTTCTTCCCTCTTGATAATGTAATCCTTCTTTTGTGTTTTGAGGACATGTCCGCAGCAAGCCACTAGAAGCCTTCACAATGGTTTCCCATGGAATCACCAGCTGTTACCAAAGACTACAATATTGCATGATGAGTTAAATTTGAAAAGGTTTATATAATGTAGACATAGGCTCTATTTGAATAAACGGCTTAATTAAGTGTTTATAGCATAAGTGATTATCATATAAGTGTTTATGCATAAGATATTTCTTTTAAAAATATATAATAAAGTCAAACTGATTTCATATAAGATATAAGCTATCTTGAATAGTTCATGGGAATATGCTGAAAAACTGTCATAAGTTGTTTTGATGTGGTCTCCGAAACAGTTATATATATGCTTATGCCAGTAGATAAACTCAAATAAGTCAATCCAAACAGATCATAAGAGAAAAACACGTTCATGAAACTACCTGTACTTCCGTTCCACTTGTCTTCTGTCTCAATGGTCTGATCAGGACACCTGTAAGACATGCGTGCTCGCTGAAAACTGGACTGCCTTCCATTCCTGAGAGGTTGCATGTCAAATTAGACCCACAACCAATTTCATAAATGACCTAAATTATGCTACAGAGAAACTTCTCATACCAGGAAGACAGCGAATGTCAGCCATCAGCAACGATCCATCAGATGAATTAGGCGGATAACAATTTGCAATGCATCCAACTGATAAACTGATTCAAATAAGCAAACAAATCAGAGGACGGGATGATACAAAAATGTCAAGCATTGATATCCACTTCTACACCACAGCATTATATAGACAAAATTGAAGCCTGTACAACTCAGCTGAACACACAAGTGAGCCCAACAACCTATGGAGCAGGGACTCCAACACAGATAGTGCAACACGACACAGACACCCGACACCGATAATGTCAACAACATAACACCAATAATGTCAACAACATAGGACACTGGAACCGCTACATATATGATAGTAGTTAACTTTGATTTATTGATCTACTGTTAAAATGATTTAAAATATTCTAATCAAATTTAATATCTTTAATCTTTCGTTGATCAACATTACTTCAACACATTTTTAACCCTTTTAAACGCGTTTGAGATGTGTCCAAAATATGTATAAGATGTGTTGAAGAAAATAAAATAAAATAAAATATTTTTTAAACACTTATTCTGAATTTTCCGACACTTAGTGTCAGACACCGAATCAATGAGTGTCGAAACAAAGAAAAAGAAACTAATTTTTTGAGACATTTGTTTGAGTTTTCCAACATGTGTCATACGGGTATCTTACAAGTGTCACCGAGACACGCCTAATCTTAGAGGAGCCTGTGCTTCATAGCCAACAACTCACTGAGAAAGTTTTGGCATATAATGACAAAGAATGTGTTACATCAAGGTGATTAAGAAAATTCACCATTTTGTAAGTAACTACCTGATTAGGTTATTCTATTTTTTTTCTCTTAGACAACAGAAAAAACAATACCTGTTAAAGAAGTGTGTAGATGAGAGGACTCCAAAGGGAGACCCAACTGCCAAAAGGAAATCACCCCTTTTATTCATGGAAGGTTTTTGATAGTTCAGTGAGTCCTATGTTACATGCATCAACATGTTATTCTCATGAGTCTAGAAAGACTAAAAAAGAAAGAACACCAAATAGAAAAATAATAACATGTGCAAGGTATAATCATTATGTTATAACTGTTTGCAGATATATACCTTGAGAGATAAAGAAACACTAAGAATGGCCATTCTAGTCAGTGATTTGCACATAACACTTGCACTGCCCGATCCTCCCTCCGATATCCTCCCCTGACATTTCAAAGATGATTTATCAATCATCATCCAAAATAATGAAACAACTTTAATACTTTATAAGCAAAAAACTTTAATACTTTATAAGCAAAGGACCGGAAGATTAGAAACGAATTTCAATGCACCGACAGTATTAAACATTTTTACACATGCATCCAATCAAATCACATTGTGATGTCACTTTGTTACGCCAGTTTCTAAAATATTTCCATAATTATCTACATGGTGAGATGTGATTGGATGCATGTGTAAAATAGTGCACACAAATTAAATCGTTAACGCAATATCCAGGGAAAAAACATTATTTCTGTTAAACATACTTTTCAAGCCAACTTTCTAACCCTTTCTTGATTCATAACAATCAATAAAGTAATCTAATTCATTGCAAAATAAAACACTTATGAAGAAAGAAAAGGGATAACCTGAGTTTGAAAATTATCTTTAGAGGGATGAGATTCATTATTCAGAGATGCCAAAGACCAACCAACCTCCCATTCATGCTCTGACAAGCCTAGAGATGCTTCAACAAGTGACTGGACACAAAGGGCTGAAGCAGGGATATCAACCTGTAGGTGGAAAGAAATTATTACGAATTGTGGATAACAAATAATCAGATTTAGCATCATGTAATTATATAAGCCATACGCAACTAGGAGCACCACATTGTGAACATGTTTTAAAACTTAATCTCTCAGTTAAAACTATAGACCATCAGGAGCATCACATTATTAATCTTCGAGAAGAACGCATAGTGAGGAACAAGAATAACATTAAAAATTCAAAATGCTTACTAATGACAATAGCTGCCCCTCAAGCCAACTCGGAGTTCCTTGATCAGATTCTTCATTGGTTTTCTCTGTCATAATATCAATCCGAACACCAGAAATCAAATCAGGCCTACCCTGAAAAGCATAACATAAAAATTCAAACCACATATTAAATATAATAAACATGGAAGTAACTAAAGTTAGCACATGAGACAACAAATTGACAATAATTTAGATGGTTAACTCAATTCAAGAACAACAACAATCAAGCATTATCCCACCAAGTGAGGTCAGCTAAATAGATCAAACTACCGCATAATGTTCTATCAAAAATCATGTATTTATCCAACTCGTTAATCTCGTAATCTTTTTTTATAGTTTTTCTAGGTATTCTTCTACCTCTTTCACTACACTTTATCCGATCTGATCTCTTTATCATAGATCTCACATGTCTTCTCTCTACATGCTTAAACCACATAAGTCTATTTTCCACCATCTTTTCTAATATGGGTGTTACCCCAACCCTCTAATATTTTGATTTCTAATCTTATCTTGTATAGCCTTATCACACATCTAATACAATATTCTCATCTCTACTACACTTATTTTCGTGTTGGTTCTTTCCCGTCCAACATTATGTCTTGTACAACATCATTGTTCTCACGGTTGCCCGATAAAATTTTCCCTTAAGTTTGAGTTGTAATTTAGTGTCACATAATAGTTTGAGTTGTACTATAGTGTCACATAAACACTAAGGTCTTACATTTCAACCACCCCATGCAAATTCATGTTGGTTAATTCAATTCAAACACAAAGTTATTATATTCTGTGAATGGTTAATAGATATAACAAAGGATCGCAACTCATTTATCATCCACTAAACACAATTAACCACGACTTTGAAGTGGTGAATCATATATATTTGAACAAATGATAATTGTGGTTGATAGCGTTTAAACTGTAGTTAATTACATATATTAGATGGTTAATGAATTGTGACACTTTGTTCATCTACTGAATCTAAGCAAAAGTATATTTGAGCTAAATTACTGTCCAATTCTGTTGTCAAATATGTGCATTAAAACATCATTTAAACATTTAATCTACTACTGAATCCATGAACTATGAGCACCAAGTACCAACCTGAGGAATATTCTCCCTATGTTGAGGAGATAGAAAGGGCTCAACAACCGAAGCAACCGTCACAACCAACACCCTATCCTCAAACTTATCACCATATAAACGCTTAGCTACTTGAGTATCACAAAGGGAATCAGGTACAAGCAACCCAGAAGCAGAAAGAGTTGTCTCGCCAGAACTACACATACCCAGAAGAAGAAAACAAAACCCAATAACCATAAATTCATAAAAAAAAAAAAGAAACTTTGAATTAAAAATAGGAAAACTAGTAGATAAATGAATAGGTCAACGAACCGGTAATGATGAAAAGCGTGTTTTCTCATCTTCATTCCTTTTGGGTCCTGAAAGATGAAATTGCAAAGTGAGTGATCATGATTATACATAACTGGGATTAACCAGAGAGAAAGAGAAAGACTTACAGGACCGCGAATTCTGATCATAACTGCGAAATTTCGAGCGGAATCGAAGATTTGTGAGTGACCCATTTTGTGATTCAATTTAATTTTGAGATGAGTTTCAATTTGAAGTAGGAGAAGCTATGCAACAGTGCCATAAAATAAACATTTTATGTATTGAATTCTAAAGTTTATTTATTTATTTTTAATTGTTTTTTTTCTCTTCAAAGTAAGAAGATTGTGAAATTATATTTCTTACTCGACTTAAATTAGAGGTGTGCATAGATTATAAATCAAATCAAATCAAATTGAATATATGGTTTAGTTTGGATCTTAAAATCATTTATGTAATGTAGACTTAAATAGTATTTTGTTCATTGTAAATTAGTGAGTTTTTGTGTTTAGTCTTTAAATTTATTTTTTTTGTGTTTAAATCCTTATATTTCATGTCTGTCTTGATTTTCATCTCTGACTATAGTAGTCTGTTAAAAAAATGTTGAGTTGGTTAATGCCCCTGACATGGAATGATAGTTTATTTTTATTTTTCTTTTCTTTAATATTTTGTAGACGTGGTCAGTGATTTATGTTAACACTAAAATCAAAAAAATATTCAAAAAAATAATTTTTGGCATCAGTCCCGGTAAATTAGGGTTTTTCATATTTGGAAGAAGTGTGGTGACCAATGGAGAATGATGGAGGCGAATGTGAGACAACAACCACGATACGACGACAGTGTCGTTCTGGTTGACAATCTCATCTGTGGTATTTAGCATTTATCTTTCTGTATATTTCGTTCTTACTATGTTCATAGCATTTATCTCTGTTCTCTGTTTTGTTCGCTGAAAGTAATGAGTTTCAAATTGATATTCCATTACGGGGATGGGTTTTTAAGGGACTGTGTAGTATACTACACAGGGGGTCATGCCTTTTAGCATTATATTCTATTTTTGCCTTTATGTACTAAAGAATTAGGCAAACTACAAATACAATCCACTAACATAAGTAATAAACAAGAATTAAATAGAAACATTTCATTAAGATTAAGGGACATACAAACAACACAATATGAAAAAGGGACGAAATGCAAAATGTCAAAACGATTCAGGGACGAAATTCTTAATTGATTAACCAATACAGGGATGAAATTCAATAAATAGTCATCTTATAGGGACTAAAACATAAAAAATTACAGACACCGTGAACATGGAACTCACTACCATTTCTATTAAGTAAAGAACAAAACCCATGACAAAATCAACAACATCCTAAACAAATTGGCCTTCTTCCTTTCGTTTTCCAACTTCAATTTCATCTTCTCTTTTTTCCTATTTTCAACATTTTTAATGATGCAACCTAATTCCTACACAATTTCTGAGTAATTGCAACCAATTAAAATTTTTGGTTCAGTTGATATGTTGCGCTCAAGTTCATCATCCCACAAGAATACCTTGCAACTTGACATTACACCTGAATTTGCACATTTTCAGAATCATCCTTTAGAATTTGCACTTGAATTTGAGATGAACATCCACATTGCTCTATTGCAACCATAAACTGGGATTTGAGACTCAGAGTTATAACCTACAGATGACGTTGCCATGTTACAGAGAAGAAAAACGCAACACCTATTACAGAGAAGAGAAGAAAAATGCAAAAACAATATTTGAAGAGGAAGAAGATGATGCAAATGGTTAATTGTTTTTTTTGGATTTATTCCTCCTTTAAATGATCTCCAAAGTATTGATTTCACGTCTGCAAAATATTAAAGAAAAGAAAAATAAAATGTCATTCCACGTCAATGGTGTTAGCTAACTCGGCATTTTTTTAACTGACTAATAACGTCTGAGATGAAAATCAACACAAACATGATATATAAAGACTCAGACCTGGAAAAAAATATTTATAGACTAACGCAAAAACTCGCTAACTTACATAGACCACAACACTATTTAAACCTTCTTACTAATATAATTTTTTAAATAAAAATATATGAAAAAATATGCACTCGTGCTATAAAATATTTTTATATTGATAATCAATAATCAACGTGTATTTTGTTGTAGTAATACTTTAAATAATAGGGTAGCTTAATAGTTTTTTTTATTGGATAATAATGTTAAAATTATTTTTGCATTATCTTTATACATACACTAAACTCAAAATATAAAAATGTCAAACTATATATTTGTATACGTGAGAGCAGATATCCCTAATTAATGTTTTAAGTTTGTTTGCATTTTATAGTATTTTTAATTTAAAATGGCATGATTTTAATTTAAGATTTCATTTGGTCCATTATCTAATAAATGTTATTTTAGTTCCTCAAAAATTAGTATGTTAGCCATCTTGATTTTTTCAACCTCGACATCGGATTCTCCCTGTTAAACTCCAAGACACTGTCCCAAGTCTCTATTTCCAAAGTCGACCCCATTTCTTCTGTTGGAAGTGACAGAGATTCCTAGTGTTACAAATTTTCCAAAAGATGATGCACATTAACTAGGAACTCAAAATATCCACTTCATTCAAATAGCTTAACAACCACTTATTTAACTTTGTGTTGGGAGGAATACGAACGTCCAAAGGGGGCAAAAAGCAAGCTATCATGGAGAATTTCCTTAATATACTAGTGTTAAAGTCACCAATCCCTTAGAACCCCATGCCTCCAGTACCTTTGGAACCTGTCATTATCTCCCAATATAACTAATGGATTTTCCTATCTCTATTCCTTGACCCCCACCAAAACTTGGCTAGCATAATATCAATCTCCTGAATCAGAAAAGAAGACCCATGCATCAATTAATATCCCTATCTATAATATAACATACCTCAGGTTGGATTCAACTACTTAGGATGATGATCTGCAAAACCAAACCCCATGACTTTATGCTCTGTCAGTCTTCCCCTCTTCTAGCTATTCGCATGCGTCGATCAATCATCTTCGACAAAATTACCTTATAAAGTATGCACCAAGGATCCATTAGATTAAACTAAGTGTGTGATAGACCGATTATTATGTCCTTTAAATGTGACTACTGGTTAGATTATGATTATGTAAATGGATCCCCATTAAACACACCTTCAGGAAGCTTGTAGCAGCTCATAATATAACTCGTGATAGCTTGAGCAAGATCTTTGATAAGAACTTATTTCCCTGATCTGGATAAAAACGTCTCCTTCCAACTTTTTATTTTCTTCCATACTATATCAACCGCAAGGCCAAGGATCTCCTTCTTAGATCTACTAAAGACTACAGGAAGGCCCGCATACTTGGAATGGTGAATTATAATCTTTGCACTCATCCTATTACGAATCATTTCTTTATCATCATCAGGCACATTTTGACTAAAGGTTGCCTCTGATGTCTCCAAGTTCGCCATTTGACCTGAGGAGTCTTGGTATTTTTTTAGAATCCCCATAACACAGACATCTTCTGTTAAGTTTGCATTGGTAAAAATAAGACTATAAATGGTAAATAACAAATTAGAGATGGTTGTAGCCTTCCTAGCCACTTAGATGCCATGAATACGCTTCCATTAACAAGCTTTCTTTAGCAAACTTGAAAAAGTATCAGCACACAATATGAACTTATAAGGAGAGAGGGGAGTCTGTTATCGGAGGCCCCTCTCTGGGATGAAGCTTCTACTAGGTTGCCTATTCACAAGGATTTGATACGACGCCATAGAAATTCACTGACGGATCAGAGAAACCATAGACTCTGAGAAGCCTATAGAGGAAAAAACACTAGTGATAAACTCCCACTCCAATATTTCATAAGCCTTCGACATATCGAGTTTGAGCGACATGACCCCCTTCTTCCTTTTTTTTTCTTCTTCATCCAATAGAAACACTTCACAGTGATGAGAGTGTTATCCGTGATCAACCTACCTTAAACAAAGGCATTTTGCACTTCATCAATCACATAATGGAGGATAAGTTTAAGAAAATTATCAATGGTCTTTGAAACAACTTTCATGACAATGTTGCAAAGGTTGATTAGGCAAAAGTATTTGGGAGAATCTGAATTTTTACATTTAGGGATAAGGGTTATGAATGTGCTATTGATTGGGCCTGGGTCTTTTCGATTGTTGAGAATATCTAGAGTCAAATCGCTCACATCAATACCAATAATATGACAATACTTTTGAAAAAATAAGGATGGGAAACCATCAGGGCCTGGAGCCTTTGAAATATAGCATTTTTAACCTCAAGAGCCGAAAATTTCGTAGCACACCAACTGACATGACTCGAGTTTAATTTTTCTTGAACAACCTCACAAACTTCTAGAATGTTAAGAAGAGATTAATTAGAAAAAATATCAAAAAAGTAGTTCACCAAGATTCATTCACAATGGAGGTCACCATTCCACTAGCAAACATTATCGTCCTTGAGTTTCTTGATGGAATTCATTTTCCTTCTTTGACTAGATTCGCCATGAAAGAACTTAGTATTACAGTCCCCATGCTTAATCCAAATTGCTCTGCTTTTCTGCCTCTAAATGTTTTCCTCCAATTGTAGGAGATTGTTCCTTTGACATTTGAGAGGCTTATAGACCTTCAAATCATCTTTACTTGCTAACTAGTTACTTTCATCTTCGAGTAATGCTTTACTTGCTAACTAGTTACCACATTTGTATTGAATAATCTGAATTTATTCTCGCTTGAGACGTGTTTCCACGAGGAACACCAAATTGGGATTTTCCAAGCGAATGAGCCTTAACAAGGTTCTAACTACACGAGGACTCCTTAACCCCCTCCAGTTCCAACTGATAAGTTTCATTGGGGTAGGCGGTAAAAATTACTACCACGAAACATATGAACTGGAGAGGGAAACAGCGCCTCCTAAACCCTAGATGAAAAACGAATGGAGAGAAACACGCTATGTAAGAAAGAAAGAGGATCTGACCTCTCTCTAGAACACGTGGATATGGTTAACTTGTATTCTAAATAATAAGATACATGTATTTTCTTCATCTTTAGTTCTGAAAATGTCAAATATTTCCAGCAATGGTTAAGTTTCTGAGACAGTTGGATTTGTACTTAGAAGACACAAGAGGATGAAGTATTTTTCCAAGAGGAATATGTTCTTCGTGC